ATTTTCGCGCCCTTGGTAAGCGAGGGGAGGGCGCGAAAATGCTGCGCGCAGCCATTTCGGCTGTTCCGGCAGCTTTTTTGCGCCCTCCCCTCGCTTACCAAGGGTGCGAAAACGCTGCGCGCGGCCATTTTGGACCCACCGACCAGCTGATCGGCGGGGTCGCAAAGCGAAGGTTGGTAAGCGAACCGCTTACCGACCTTCGCTCTGTGAATTATGCCCTATCTAGGTGACGTTTTGCGATCACTTTTGCAATCGCAAAAACGGCACCGTTGCGCTCTCTACGGAGCGACCATTCTGCGAGGCACCACTGTATATGGAAACTCTACAGATTCTGACATCATTCCAGAAGACATGTCTCACTATTACTCAATATCTCCCCTCTGAATAGTGATGATACTGAGGTCAGGACATGGGGAGCAATTGCATCAGGCTAGTTTCTGTTAGAAACAGAATGGCTGACTTTGGTAGATAGTTCTCAGCTTTTGGTGCTGTAGAGTGGTGGTTTTCAAACTTGGGTCCCCAGATGTTCTTGGACTGCAATTCCCAGAAACTTCACCACTTGCTGTGCTGGCCAGGATTTCTGGGAGTTATAGTCCAAGAACATCTGGGAACCCAAGTTTGAGAACCACTGCTGTAAAGGATTTAGACGTCCATTCCTGGAAAGTCCTGGCTATCGGCCATGCTGTCTGGGGTTCAAGCCCCAAACATCTTGAAGCCGAAAACATCTTGAACATCTTGAAGGCCAAAGGTGGACAACCACCAGATTATGTCCCGTCTAACCATCTTTAGATGGTCTTATGCTATTACCTTTCTGTTATGCTTTTAGCAGACTGCAAGAAGCGTGCATGATCATTCTCCTTTAGTGATTGCTCAGCTTGTGAGATTAGAGATGTGGAACGTTCAATGCATTGTTTGCAATTAGCTATCTGCTGGGCCAGTTTTCTCAGTCTCACCACCTGGGGGGAGGAGACAGAAACAGGAGAAAACAATTAGATCCACAATGAACAACCCACACACAAATAAATCATGTATTTTTCTATTTGTACATCTTGGTGGCCATTGTATAAATAGGGTGCTAATGCAAGCAACTTAATTGAGAAGCAAGAAACTAGTTTAGGTAAAGGTAAAGGTTCCCCTTGACAATTTTTGTCCAGTCATGTTCGACTCTAGGGGGCAGTGCTCATCCCCGTTTCCAAGCCATAGAGCCAGCGTTTGTCTGCTCAGCTTGTGAGATTAGAGATGTGGAACGTTCAATGCATTGTTTGCAATTAGCTATCTGCTGGGCCAGTTTTCTCAGTCTCACCACCTGGGGGGAGGAGACAGAAACGGGAGAAAACACTTAGATCCACAATCAACAGCCCACACACAAGTAAATCATGTATTTTTCTATTTGTACATCTTGGTGGCCATTGTATAAATAGGGTGCTAATGCAAGCAGCTTAACTGAGAAGCAAGAAACTAGTTTACACCAGCTTTAATATAAGTTGAAACTGTTTGAAATAAAAACCCTCCATTCTGTTCTTGGTCTTCTGACCCTGCAGCACAGGCTTCTGCGGTTTAGCCCACAGTGCCACCACGTTTACACCAGCTTTAATATAAGCTGAAACTGTTTGAAATAAAAACCTTATTCTCCATTCTGAGGAGATTCAAAATAAGCACAGCGAACAGATTTTCTGATAGTGGAAACTCACTTTTCACCAGTCTTTGCCTCTTGAAGAACAAAAGTCTATTGTGGCTGCCATTTCCCCCAAATTGATGTCTTCAAAGCTGCTTACAAGGTGTCTTACATTTTACTGTAAATTTCTGGGCTACTTTACAGGAGAGGTGACCTGAGAACAAAGCCTGGCTAAAAGGAATCATTTGTATTGACTGACAATAAAATAAATTTTCATCCATACTAGCTTCCATTTTTGCAGTTTTATGTTGCAGTGAATTCACTTGAATAGAAACCAACATGATGCATATCTGTGATATATTGACAAATGTGTACACTGGAAAAGGAGAAGAAGAGGCTATTTCTGAAAGAAATCTCACTGAACTGTGATGGAATGATCTGAAATTAAAAGCCTAAATTGAAAACCTGCCTATCTGTCCTTGATAAAAGAAGCCATCACTCCATGCTACAGACCAGACCGTATCATTTACAGCAACACCACTGCACAGTGCTAAGGGAAAGGAAAAAGGAAGTCTAATAATGCTGTAACTAAGGACATTAAGCTCCAGTTACATATTTAAAAAACTAGGAAACTGATGATTAAGTAGATTGGCAGCACATTTGGAATTTTATAGCAAAGATAACAAAACTTACAGGGTTGCATTTATTAAGCAATAAACACACATGCCATTACTTTGTTAGCAGACAATGAACTATGATAGGAAGTACATATCCTGAGCAAAAGCATGCTTCCAGAGTTTCAGATAGCAAAGTCCATAGTCAGCCATTCGTATGCATATTTTATATGTCAACATTTTAAGTCTGAACCATTTCAATTCATTTATTCTGGTGTTGGTGCTTTCAAATGAGGAATGATGATTGACACTGCAGTCCTAAACATGTTTGCTCAGAAGTATCTCTGAATTCAATGGGAGTTGCTCCACAAGACACATGTTAACAAGTAGTTGCTTATAATGCCATCTAAACATTTTTACAATGTATATTCCTATTTGCTTTCTCCACAATGTTCTGTGCTGAGGACCTTTATCCTTAAGTAAAATCAAGGCAACAAACAGCATTTGGATAACATTGATAATTGCATTTTTCACAAGTGCAAAAAAAAAAAAAGCAAATACCAAAGGCAACATTTATTCATCCTATAATTTCCTTAAAAAAATCTTTTTTTGAGGCTAAGAGCCCAAAACTCTGGGAAACCATAAGATTAAATTGGTTCTGAGCCATCTGCACTCCCAGTGTGTGGATCCTTGATCCTCCAAATAGACTGGGCATATATCCCCTAATCTTAAGGAGAAGGGAACATAAGCTATAAGATCTAGTGTTATTGCGCAGCACAGCAAATCAACATTCTAAAAATGTGGGCAGCTGCACAATATTGGGCCCATGTTGCCAGCAGGAAAAAGCTTTACATAGCAAAAGGCAATGTGGATGTTGATAACACCAATGGTAGTAGTCAAGATGGTCTGCATAGGGTACTCTCACTTCCTGGTACTCTGAAGCATAGGTACAGGAGGACAGGATCCCACATGCACAAAGTGTTTTTTTTTAAAGAACTTAATTTTTTATTGATAAAGAGAGGAGATCAGATGAAAAAGTGGAATTGAATGAGAAACAATGGCTAAAATTCTGTTGCTCAATGTACTAAGTTGCAATTAGAGGAGGCCCACCGAATAAGTGAAACTTACAGAGGATTTTGACTCAGTAAACCCTACTGATTCATTGGGCCTATTGTAGTGTGACTTACTATGCTAAACAATACAATTTCAGATCCCTAGATCAGTTGATATAGACCAGTTACCAATGTAATCTTCTATTTGGCTGCTTAGAAGTATACCCCACCAAACTGAGTAAGACTTATTCTGCATAAGCCAAAAGGGCTCTTGGGTCATGGACAACCACCAACAATCCTAGAAGGATTCCAGTCTTAATTAGAAAACAGGTTAACTAATTCAGACAGAAGTGGTTCCTTTTCGGAACTTTTAAAATACAGTGAACAACTTTTTATACCATGGGGGAAACAATTTAAGTTTTACTTCCAAGTTACAGTATTTGTCTTAGGTTACATTTCAGGCTGAGAAAGTTGGAGGGACCACATAGCAAACTAAAACTCAGCAGTTTTGTAGTATGGTAAATGTGTTGCTCAATTATGCGGTCAAACTGTTAAAGCAGCTGGTGAAACCCCTGTTTAATTTGCTGGGGAAATGTATGATGTACTGCTCTTCTTTGGGAAAATTACTGGGTTTCTATTATCAATTAAAGAAAAAAAAGGACTAAGTGCAAGCCTTCTTTGAGAAATGGGTGTCTCATGCTTGATAATCATTTGGTTAACATTGATAATTGCAGTTTTCACAAGTGCAAATAATAAAAAAATTAAAAAAGCAAATACCAAAGGCAACATTTATTCATCCTATAATTTCCTTAAAAAATTTTTTGAGGCTAAGAGCCCAAAACCTTTTTGGGCCAATACTTTGGGAAATCATAAGATTAAATTGGTTCTGAGCCATCTGCACTCCCAGTGTGTGGATCCTTGATCCTCCAAATAGACTGGGCATATATCCCCTAATCTTAAGGAGAAGGGAACATAAGCTATAAGATCTGATCATGATAAAGCAACCCTTTTTTAACAGCTGATCCGTGGTTTCAAACTGGCCGCTGGGAAAACAAAATGGCCACCCGCTGTTTCCTCACTTTAGAGGCACTGAAAATGGCTGCCCCTATGGAGGATCTTCACTTAAAGGTTAATTTTTAGTCCATAGGAACGCATTAATCGCGTTTTAATGCGTTTCTATGGGCTTTTTAATATCGCTTAGCGATAAAATCAGAGTCGTGCCTCGCTTAGCGATTGCTCTGTTGAGCGACAAAATCACTTAGCGACTAGCTTTGTGATTGTCCCTATGGGTTTTTTTTTTTTTTTTTGCTTTGCGATGATCGCGGGGAAGCGATCATGATAAAGCAACCCTTTTTTAACAGCTGATCCGTGGTTTCAAACTGGCCGCTGGGAAAACAAAATGGCCACCCGCTGTTTCCTCACTTTAGAGGCACTGAAAATGGCTGCCCCTATGGAGGATCTTCACTTAAAGGTTAATTTTTAGTCCATAGGAACGCATTAATCGCGTTTTAATGCGTTTCTATGGGCTTTTTAATATCGCTTAGCGATAAAATCAGTTAGCAACGTTTTTTCCGGAATGGATTAACGTTGCTAAGCAAGGCACCACTGTATTTGGCTGCTTAGAAGTATACCCCACCAAACTGAGTAAGACTTATCCCGCATAAGCCAAAAGGGCTCTTGGATCATGAACAACCACCAACAATCCTAGAAGGATTCCAGTCTTAATTAGAAAACAGGTTAACTAATTCAGACAGAAGTGGTTCCTTTTTGGAACTTTTAAAATACAGTGAACAACTTTTTATACCATGGGGGAAACAATTTAAGTTTTACTTCCAAGTTACAGTATTTGTCTTAGGTTACATTTCAGGCTGAGAAAGTTGGAGGGACCACATAGCAAACTAAAACTCAGCAGTTTTGTAGTATGGTAAATGTGTTGCTCAATTATGCGGTCAAACTGTTAAAGCAGCTGGTGAAACCCCTGTTTAATTTGCTGGGGAAATGTATGATGTACTGCTCTTCTTTGGGAAAATTACTGGGTTTCTATTATCAATTAAAGAAAAAAAAGGACTAAGTGCAAGCCTTCTTTGAGAAATGGGTGTCTCATGCTTGATAATACCTTTTGTGCATAACCTAATGCCATCCTGAGGGAGATTTGTCTGGTGCCAATGTTGATGAGGTTTTGTTGCCAGGTCAAAACCTTCCTGTTCCAGAAGGTTTTTAATTGAAATAATATACATTATGGGTCCTGTTGGCAATTTTTAGATCACTGTATTTTTATTGTATTTTCATTGTTTTATCTTTTTAAAGGCAAAGGTAAAGGTTCCCGTTGACATTTAGTCCAGTCGTGTCCAACTCTAGGGGGCAGTGCTCATCCCTGTTTCCAAGCCGTAGAGCCAGCGTTTGTCCGAAGACAGTTTCTATGATCACGTGGCCAGCGCGACTAGACATGGAACGCCGTTACCTTCCCACCATGGTGGTACCTATTTATCTACTTACAGTTTTACATGCTTTCGAACTGCTAGGTTGGCAGGAAAAGGGACAAGTGACGGGAGCTCCCTCCATCATGTGGATTTGATCTTACGACTGCCGGTCTTCTGACCTTGCAGCACAGAGGCTTCTGCGGTTTAACCCACAGCCCTAAGCTGCCCAGAGACCTTTGGGTAGTGTGGATGGCATATAAGTTATAAATAAATAAATAAATAAATAAATAGATAGATAGATAGATAGATAGATAGATAGATAGATAGATAGATAGATAAATAAATAAATAAAGGAAGGAAGGAAGGAAGGAAGGAAGAAAGAAAGAAAGAAAGAAAGAAAGAAAGAAAGAAAGAAAGAAAGAAAGAAAGAAAGAAAAGAAAGAAAGAAGAAAGAAAGAAAGAAAGAAAGCACTGAAAAGAACCATCTCAGCCAATAAAAACTCTTCTATTTCCTCTAAAGGAAAGTTTAGAATTGAGCAGGTCTTTCAGGAAAGTTTGCCATGATAGTTGATGATTGAATGTGAGTTCCCACTACAATCCTGTAACCAAGGAGATTATACAAGAAGGTTGTCATAAGAGACCCTGGAGGGAGCTGCATTTTGTTAATAGCATAAAGAGGTTTAGGGCCTCTCAAACAACAACTTGGGGAACTGTGGCCTTCAGCATATTTAAGTCAGCTCTTGCCTACAGGGCCTTTTTATTTTTAAGTTAATTGGAATATCTTGACAGCTAAGTGAACCATTTAACCTGCCCTTGACTTTATTTCTTGTCAAAGCTTTTCCCACACAGGGAGAGTTTATGTTTGACTTCTTCAAGCTACTTTAGCAGTTAAAGATTGAATGGCTTGCTCTAAAAAGCAACAAGAATTATGGTCAAACCGATTTCACAGTTAGCTAGGCAACCAATTTAAAGCTTGAATGAGTATCTACACCTCACACAATGGGCTGACATCAGAAACAACTGTAGGACATTATTAAGATGTGATATTTAATGTGAAACTCCCTTTATATTAGAGTGTTAAAATACTTCACTGCATTCTCCCTTCTGTAACATACAATTTCCCTCTTCTTTCCTCAGCCTCCCTCAGATTGCTCCCATGACACCCTCTTTCTTTAAATGTTTGTGTCAGGAAAGTTGCTTTGTATAAATATCATTAATAAATTATTAATCCATTCATTGAATTAAATATTCATGCAGATTATTGTATTCGAGTTAGCTGTTCTTATGATATGGTCAATTTTTGCCTGTGGGTAAATTCCTTCAGATCTTAGTCCACACACAGAAACACTTTTTGGGTAGAATACAATTTGGGGGAGAAAAACAATCCTCCCACCTTGGAAAATATAATTTATGTTCATTCTTCAAACAAAAGCACCACATACCAGCAAAGATAAAAATACCAGGAGATATAAATGAAATAGGCTACCGTAAATTTTAAATGATGATTGAAAATTTATTTAATAAGTAGTGACAGCATGCAGCACTTCCTCCTCACAAACGGTAGCATCTGTCAAGGAGTTTTCAAGGACATGTGTGTGCCGTTTTGTAGAATAGGAAAGCAAGAGGTTGGAGAATTTATTGAGCATAAACCATTTAGCAAAAATGTTAATCTATTTGGGAACCTCCAAGGTAAAATTCTTACTTTCCCTTCCTTGATTTTGGTTCCAATTATCTGACGTCTTTGCTGGATTATTTCAATAAGCAGGTCACATTCCTCCATCAGCTTTGTTTCTTGTCGAGATGCGTTTACCTAAAAAACATATCAAATTATTACAGAAAATTTATTTTTCATGCATTTCCCTCAAGAAATAAAGAATGGGGAAAGTAGTAAAGCTTAATGGAAAAGGATGAGCAAAGTCTATAACATGCACGTAATCCTTACACAACATAACTTTCCTCTCATCTCTTTATGGCTCCTTGCCTTCATCCACCCACCCTTATCTGCCTGAAACTATTGCAGAAGCTTATAATTACAGAAAATTTATTTTTCATGCATTTCCCTCAAGAAATAAAGAATGGGGAAAGTAGTAAAGCTTAATGGAAAAGGATGAGCAAAGTCTATAACATGCACGTAATCCTTACACAACATAACTTTCCTCTCATCTCTTTATGGCTCCTTGCCTTCATCCACCCACCCTTATCTGCCTGAAACTATTGCAGAAGCTTATACAGGAGATTGAAGGGCCGGGGGGGGGGGATCGAGGAAAGGTAATATCTGCTTGGATTGGGATACTGTACCATCACCTGGAAGACACAATTGTATTTCTCCCTATTATACTTAAGAGCAGCCTGTGAAAATGTGAAATTCACACTTCTTCCACCTATTTGTTTCTTTCTAGGTACTGTATTTTGTTCATTGTATCACAGGTATAGCTCACCAGAAACCTTATTCTTCAAAACAGCACCATCTGTATGCAAGGAGGTATCAGCAGGCTTAGTGAAATCTTCAGATTTGAAGAGATGTTTAATTCTTTTTTAAAAGGGGAGGGGAAAAGCTTTCTTCCCCAAAAAGATCCAGTGAGGACTGTAGTGAAATGCTGAAGATCTCAGGGAAATGAGAATGGCATATCCAAAAGCTAGCATAGCTGGTTGACAACTCTGAAGAGAAGCTCTCCATACTGCAACACTTTGTTGCAGATCCAGCCTGGTACGTTCCAATAGCCCTTTAATGAAAGGAAGGAAGCGCTGTTGACATATGCCATGCCTGCTAGTGATCTATAAGACTGGAATGGTTTGGCTAATAAAATTTGTATGAGTTATATATAAATTAAATTGGGAAGCAGCCATTGTCAATTACTCATGGAGTATTCCCTCCATAGAACCTTCACATGCTGAATTTAGTTCATCTGAACTTACTAGTTTTGAGTATCTTGCCTTCCCACGCTTGATCATAATTTTGTGCTACCACACCACTCCTTCATAACTTAGACTAGGTATAGTGAAGCTTTTGGAATTCCAGATTTTTTTGAGACTACAACTCCCAGAATTCCCAGCCCATATCGACAATGACAAAGGGCTATGGGAGTTGTAGTCCAGAACATCTGGAGTGCCAAAGTTACACCGCCGCTGCCTCAGACTGTATAATAAGGTGTGATTCACTTTCTTTTTTATTCCTTCTTCCACCAATGACAATGATCTCCTTTCCCCCTCTCTTTTTATCATAATTCTAAACCCAAACTTTTCAATTTCTGAACCATCCTTTCTCTCAGCTCTTTCAGCTTCTCTCACAGAAGACTTCTAAAGGAATGGAAATCATCACTAGTTTTGTCCTTGTAGACACCAGTGAAGAACTGCAAAACAATTCTTTCTGCCCCACAAGAGGGCAGAAAGTATTTTGCTACATTACTGACAAGGAAAGAAAAATGAGAAAAATGATATTTATACAATGGAAGTATAAATTGCACAAAACAACACTTCAATGCAAATAACAGAACTTGAGAAGAATGGTGGTTGCCGCTTTGTTACATGGCTTTTACACCTTCCCTATCTCTTGCCTGAAGGCAAGGAATCTTGTGGGGATTGAAAATTCCTCATAAAGGTCAAGGTGAGACAGCTAAATTGATTGAGAATGAAGAATTTAGTGAGCATTAAGAATTTAGAGAGTGTTCTTTGTATCTCTAGCCCTCAGCTTTCTCACAACTCTCTTTCTGCATGTGTTCTTCCCCACTAAGCCACAGTAATCTTTCACTTCTCCAAGGTGATAACATTGTTTGTCAACATTCTGAAATTTTTCTCCTCAGTGTATCTGTGAACAGTTCCATGTGGTACCAGAGTAGTTCAGCTACTGACCATTGTTTGTCAACATTCTGAAATTTTTCTGCTCAGTGTTTACTATATCTGTGAACAGTTCCATGCGGTACCAGAGTAGTTCAGCTACTGATAGGTGAGTTAATGTGTGCACTTTATTATAGTCTATGTGAAACATACCAATGCCCTCCCTCACACTTATGTATTAGGAATGGGGACTTGACTTGCTGTCAAGTCGGACTTAAGTCACATTGGTGACTTGACTCAATTTTTTCCCTAGTGACTTGGACTTGTTTAGTGACTTAGTACCCTAGTTATTTCAATGTGCTCTATGTGGGGCTACCAATGGAAAGTGTCAGGCGACTTCAGTGGGTCCAAATGCAACAGACAGATTGCTGACTGGGGCTGGTTGCAGGGATCACATAGCCCCGCTGTTACAGCAGCTCCCTTGGCTGCCCATCAGTTACTGGGCACAATTCAAAGTGCTGGTTTTAACCTACAAAGCCCTAGATGGCCTGGGTCCAAGATATCTCAAAGACTGTATCTCCCATTATGAGCCATCTCGGGGGTTAAGATCATCGGGAAAGTCCTTTCTCATGGTTCTGCCACCTTCACAGATGCATCTGTTGGGGAGACAGGAGAAGCTTTCTATGTTGGTGTGCCCAGACTCTGGAACTCCCTCCCACAGGAGGACAGACTGGCCCCATTTTTGCTGTCCTTCTGCAAGCAGGCAAAGACCTTTCTCTTCAGGCAAGCTTCCCCTCAGTGACTGGCTACATGAGTATGACTATTAGATGGATTGTTGTCCTCTGATTGGTCTTTAGTACAACTTGTGTTTACCGTCTCTCAGAACGGTAATTGTTCCTTTTAAATATTGGTATACTTATGGTTCTAGCTTTAATATTATGTTTTAACTATGAAAACCACCATTGTATACTCATTGTTTTCAGCTTGGAATATTGTCTTTCAATGGTGTAAACTGCCTTAGGTACTTTTAAAAGAGAAAGGTGGGGTAAAAATATTTCCAAAAAAATGAATAAATAAACGAACAAACAATAGAACAAACAAATAAATAACCCACCCACCTCTCCCTTTTTTTCTGGGGAAAAAAGGTTTGTTTTTAATAGGGGCTCAGACTTGGGGCTTGAGCCTTGGTACCAAAGACTTGGACTTGGATTTGGAACTCAGACCGAAAGACTTGCCAACGTCCCTGGTGCCTATGTGTGTATGCATGTAATTTTGATCTATCCGAAGTTAAGGTAGGATAGAATGTCATAATAGGAAAGAGGAGGAAGTTGGGCAGGATCCGAAGACTGCAGATACTAGAAATGGAGATCCTTTGTGAGGCTTGTGGCTCAGCAGGTGCAGAGCAAGGCAGAACCCCTTGTGCTCCGTCTTCTTTGCAAAATGGAAGACAGCAGTGAGACTGAGGTAGCAGGCACTTACTAGGCTAGTGCAGTATTTCAAGGTTTCTACAAGAGAGATATGAACTACATGAACACTAAAAAATGTGCTCTTCCTCACAAAGGCCTGTTGATTTATTTGTCTACCTTGGGCTATGTTTCATCTAGGATTGAAGGTGCCTCTGAAACTGGGAGGCTCATCCTTGGGGTAAATGTCTGGGTCATAAAATTCGTACACTGTAATTTAAGCGTCTACAGTTATGACTTCCTCACATTACAATTTGTGGAAAGAATAAATAAGTAATGAATAGCCTATTCCAAAAAGTTAGATAATCATGCAGGAACTTGAATTTAAGCTGATTTACTGTTTGGTTTGGTTTGGTTACTGAAGTTGCTCCAATGTCTGCAGCTTTTAGATTTACAAATACTACATGCTACATGGTGAAAAAAAAACAATATTTACAAAGGTATGCCAAATTTATCTGCTGCTGGGTGTGTTGAAAGATAAATCCATCTTGCTTTTTAAATTATGTCCAAACATTCTAATGTTCCTAATATATATAATGCCTCCAAAATTATAACATTAATATAATGGCTCAGTAAACTCAAAAGATGGAAATATTTTTTCCCAAGTATGTTGTGAAACGTGGCCTGGCATTTTTTTATGGAAGAGTTACTCTTTTATTTTTCTGCCCCTCACAAATGACTGTTGCTTTCAAACTCTTAATTTATCTAAACAATGCTATTTCCATAATGGAAAACGAGAATATCATGTGATTAAGGTCTTGTAGATTACACTTCAAGTTCACATATTTAAAGGCTGGAAATGTCTTGTATGTCTTATATGATAGATTGAACAAAAGCCAAAGGAGAAAAATGTAAAAACTGATACCATCACTCCACAAGTTCTTTACTCAGTCTGAAGCTATCTATATAGAGATCAGTTTTGTCCAGTTAAAGATCCCTAAACTCCATGAAAAGTATTATCCCTTTCATTTTGCTCCCATATTTGTATGTAAATAGTAATTTGTGGTTTTTGCAGTATTACAGATCTGTGTATAACATATACCCTTGTTTTTACTGAAACAAAATGCATAGCATGCCAAATATTTAATCTCACCACAATAAGTAGCAAAACACTACATGCTGTCACTTTTTCCATTATTCTACTGGGTAGATAAAAGTTCTGAAATCTGTCTTTTAAGGGTTCAGGCACTGTGTAAAGAGATCAATAATTACCACCACATTGATATGCACTCCATTTGCTTCAAGTCATTTTCTTCTCCTAATCTTGCTACAGGATTTTTTAAACCCTCAATTAAGTCTAGCACTGAGGGGATGGAAGCAAGACAAATGACTGCTAATTGTTGGCAATAACATGCACAGGGCATGTGGGAGGCAAGGGAGTGTTTATTTGTAGATATTTCCCACCTTATTTAGAATATGGGGAGTGTTGGAAAGCCAGTTGATTACACATTGCAACAGCAGTGCATTACAAGAATCACCAAATTTATATGAATTAGATTTGAGCTCTGTTTGCACTAATTGCCACAGCAAGGATCCACAGAGTACTTCCTGGAACTCTCACTGCTTTCACAAG